CCTTGCCACCAGATGCAGAATGTCACTTGCCAATCGTAGCTTGCCAGCAGATGCAGCATGTCACTTTCCACCGTAGCTTGCCACCAGATGCAGCATGTCACTTGCCACCATAGCCGGCCACTGGATGCAGCATGTCACTTGCCACCCCTGCCTGCCAGCAGATACAGTGTGTCACTTGCCACCATTGCCTGCCAGCAGATGCAGCTTCACTGTAGCCTGCCACCAGATGCAGCAAGATGCTTCACACTGCATACTATCCTGCCACAGATGCAGCATGTCACTATCCTGCCACCAGATGCAGCTTGTCACTATCCTGCCACCAGATGCAGCTTGTCACTATCCTGCCACCAGATGCAGCATGTCACTATCCTGCCACCAGATGCAGCATGCCACTATCCTGCCACCAGATGCAGCATGTCACTATCCTGCCACCAGATGCAGCATCACTATCCTGCCACCAGATGCAGCATGTCACTATCCTGCCACCAGATGCAGCTTGTCACTATCCTGCCACCAGATGCAGCTTGTCACTATCCTGCCACCAGATGCAGCATGTCACTATCCTGCCACCAGATGCAGCATGCCACTATCCTGCCACCAGATGCAGCAGCATGTCACTATCCTGCCACCAGATGCAGTTCATCACTATCCTGCCACCAGATGCAGCATGTCACTATCCTTCCACCAGACGCAGCATGCAGCTATCCTTCCACTATGCAGCATGTCACTATCCTGCCACCAGATGCAGCATGTCACTATCCTGCCACATGTCACTATCCTTCCACCAGATGCAGCATGTCACTATCCTGCCACCAGATGCAGCATGTCACTATCCTGCCACCAGATGCAGTTCATCACTATCCTGCCACCGGATGCAGCATATCACTATCCTTCCACCAGACGCAGCATGTCACTATCCTTCCACCAGATGCAGCATGTCACTATCCTGCCACCAGATGCAGCATATCACTATCCTGCCACCAGATGCAGCATGTCACTATCCTGCCACCAGATGCAGTTTGTCACAGTAATGTCCCTTGTGTTGATGTTTGTTTTTTTATCTTGGATATACTTAGGCTTTAAAACTTACCCAGATAATCCAAAACCAAAAGCCTTTTGATTGGAATATCACACATCATGATATTATGGACTGGAATTTTGACAAAGTCTCAGTGATATCTGTCTAATTTTGTGTATTTCCAGGCCCTTCAAGTGTTCAAACGTCATTTTCTTATGATCTTTGCTTTAAAATTTTCAATAGCTCAAAACAACGCCTACAGTCACACCAATTCTGAATCGAATCAACACTCTTCTTCAACCCTACATGCCCCCTGTAAGGTTTCAAATTGATTTTAACATTTGCCTGATTAAATACACTCTTTGTACGGGCTGAAGTCTTCGGAGAATCACACACAATTCAATTTAAATATATCAATAGAGCGTTTTGCTATAATAAAAACACACATCCGACAGTCTCTAAAGCTTTCATACAAAATACATTTTTGAAAGGTGCTTTGAAATCCCTTTATCTTAAATTTAATTATAAAGAAAATTATAATTAAAACCTACCAGGCAATATTATGCTAGACATTTTTTTTTCAACAGCAATAATGGATGTAATGTAGCAACATTTGTCTTCTCCAAATTAAAAAATGACAAATAGAATAAAGGCAAAAATTAATACCGGCGATAAAATTCAAAGTTCAAAAAACTTATTGAAAAATAGAAAAGTATTATCAGCAGAATTGTTTCAGGGCCAGGACATGAGGGGATGCTTGGCGGTTCAGTCGTACAATGCTATTATGTGGGAGTTATTGTAAAGTAACCCTGTCACTAAAGTAAAGTATGTCAGTTAAAGTGATATTAAGCCCAGGTTCACACTCATGCGGTGCGGTACATCGCAGGTGATTCCCACAGGAACCGCACCGCATTCCTGTGCAAATCACATGTAAATTGTGTGCGGTGTGATTTGAGCCATACATTATGTATGGCTCAAATCGCACTGCATCTGCCCCAAAAAAGTGCAGGATCCTTTTTTGGGTCCGCACTAAAATCGGATCGCATGGGTATTAACACCTATGCGATCCAAATCTGCACATCGCACCGCATTTCGCGGACTGATTTTGGGATGTTGTTAAATTTAACATACACACCCGCGCAGTTCGCATGAACGGGGTGTGATTCTGATGCGGTGCGGAATTTGCACAGAAAACGCTGCGAATTCCAGACCGCATCAATGTGAACCATGACTAAAGCTTCCACTTTTGTTTAACATTAAAATATCAAACATGTTATATTTACCTTCTGTGTGAAATGCCTTTGCACAGAGCAGTCCTGATACTTTATTTCTAGGGTCCCCCACCAGTGCTCTCAGTTCCTCCTCTTCTCCATATGCCACAAGAGGAAGCCGCTTCCTATGGTGGCACACATGAGGGCTTGCTCCCAAGTCTATAGACACAGATAGCGGGACCTGGCCCTGCCCCCCCTCCCTCATCATAGGATTTGATTGACAGGAGGTGGGAGCCAATGGCTTCAGCTGCTATCAATCTTCCCAGTGAGGAGGGACAGAGCTGGGAGAGGACCAGGCTCAGGTAAGTATAAGGTGAGTGGGGACTGTTGGAATCCTTAATGCGCAGAGTGCAATAAGGTAAAAAAAAAAACTTAAGGCTTTAGAACCACATTAAGGCATAGTGACTGATTAACAGAAGATTGAGAATACTTGTCTGCTATTGACGACACTGAAAGCTACTCCAAACCTGAAAATCTTGAGTCTATAGGGAAACCAACACTTCTGGGAGAGTCAATCTCTCGGTTCCCTTGCAGCACTTTCTGGTTCCTTCTACTGACCTCCATGCTACTTCTGTCTCTTCTGCAGTAATATGGTGGCCAGATGGAGGAACTAGTGAGGGCTTTGGAGGATCAGGGAGATCAACACTTCAGGAAGTGTCAGTTTCTCTGCATATTTTACAGATTTCTCAGCACTGAAGCAAAGTTCAGCAGTGCACGCTGAACTTTTCATTTGAAGGTAAACCTTGACTTAAAAACTGTACAATGTCAACAAGGCCACTTTAAACTTAATAGTCACCTTGATTCAACAGTGCCCACTGCATTATGATAATAATATACAGTATGTATAAGAGTTGTAAGTCGATTTTCCTCCCCTTCTTGTTGGTTTGGGCCTTCCTTTCTTTGATTTGAGGCTATATTAACATGGAAAGGAACGAAGAAGAGAGCCATGAGAAGGAGTCAATGTACTGGAGTCGACATGCAAGTTTATCATGGACTTTTTTCACTCCTTTGCTGGTCATAACTCATGAGGGTTGGGATCAGGGGCATATTTGCCATGAGGCAAGGAAGGCATTTGCCTTCGGTGGCATTTTTCAGGAGGGTGGCACTGCCCCCTGGAGGAAGGAATGCTGGTTGTCCTGTGCCAGTTCCTGTGTGGTGAGTGCACTGTGGAGGTTTTCGAGGGGCACTTGGGCTGGGTGGAAGAGTGGACTCCATGAAGAGTGTAATGGTGAGTCTCTATGTATCTTCTTCTCTCCTGGGGAGGCCGTGAGCAGGTGAGCAAGTGAGTAGGCAAACGAGCAAAGGGGACAGCTAGGTGGATGAGTGGTGGGGGCAGCAGATTTTTAGTGTTGCCTAGGACAGCACAAAACATAAATACACTATTGGTTGGAACTCCATGAACTTTCCACCTTTGTATTGAGGTTATATTAACCACTTTCCTGCCACCCTATAGCAGAAATATACTGTGGCAGGGGTGTGCAAAATCACGTATATATATGTGATTTTGCATTTTTGGGGCACATGCTATTCGCAGCCTTGGCTGTCAATCACCGGGTCCCGGCCGGTGATTACTCACTGGCACCCGGTGATTGCCGAGTATTACTGAAGGGGGGGAGAGAACTGTATGTAAACAATACAGTTCTCTCCCCTGTCAGCTCCTGCACACTCCAGCACACTGCTTTGCATGGCTCTGCGTAGCAGAGCCATACAAAGCAGTGTGCTTACAGTTGAAAGCACACACACAGCTTACTGTGAAGCACACACATCACACAGTTAACCCTTTGATTACCCCATGTTAACCCCTTCCTGCCCAGCACCATTAGTACAGTGTCAGTGCTTTTTATTAGCATTCCCGCAGTCCCACTATAAGTCACTGATTACCGTTATTACTAGTAAAAATAAAAATTCAGGAATCTATACCTCCATTTGTAAACGCTATAACTTTATAAACCAATTAATTTACACGTATTGGGATTTTTTTTAGCAAAGACATGTCACAGAATACATTTTGGTGTAAATTTAAGATGAAATTTGATTTTTACATTTTTTTTTACTGGACATGTTTAATAGCAAAAGTCAAAAATATTATTTTTTGCTCTAAATTGTCAGTCTTTTTTTTATAGCGCACAAAATAAAAACGCACATGCGATCAATTACCACTGAAAGAAAGATCAATTTGTGGGAAAAAAAGGACATCAATTTCATGTGGCTGCAGCATTGCATGACCGCGCAAATGTCAGTTAAAGTAATGCAGTGTATTGCAAAAAATGGCCTGGTCAGGAAGGGGGGTAAATCCTCCGGAGGGCAAGTGGTCAAGAGCACCAGCAGGTGTAGGCACTGCCAAGTCCTTAACAACCAGTATTGCTGGGAATCTCTGACCATTTAAGAAAAAAAGCAGGGATTGTTTTTAAAAAGAATGGCATAATTCATGCCAGATCACTCAGGTTTGATATGAATTTTAAGGAGGACTCCCCACATTCTAATATAAAATTACCTGTGAGCCACTTTAGTATACACTATATATTATATATATATTCGCAGGCTCCCTTTTACATCCTCATATATATGTGTGGTGTGATAACTCAATTTGAAATAGGGTGCCGCGCCCTGTAAAGGATTATATACCTATAAAGTATATATTCGTAATTTATATTAAAATTTAAATCTTGTGCCTTACATAGAGCACCAAGGAATTATCATACATGATCCAGAGCAGGGGCGGACTGACCATTGGGAAACTCGGGCACTGCCCGAGGGCCCGGGGTCAGTTGGGGGCCCCATGAGATGCCCCTGGTACCTTTTTCATAGGCTTTTTTGAGTTTGGGCAAGGACACAGGGGCCCCATGATCCCCTATTGCCTGGGGGCCCCATGAGTTGTCAGTCCGCCCCATGATCCAGAGTGATATCAATTATGCTTCATACTAAAATTATAATACCAAACGTGAATATAGGTGAAAAAAAACAAAGCATATAAAAATCAATTATAAAAATTCATAAAGTAATTAAATAAGTGTCCAAAACGATATAAAGTGTCCAAACAATGTATAAGTCCAACAAATTATATAAAAGTTCAATTGATATTGTTCCTGTTAGTGAAAAAACTCTGTGTGATTCTCACACAGATGATATCTTTAGTATGCTCTCACCTTGCAAACAGCCTGTAACTAGATATACTTGGCTTTATAGGAGTGGAGCTACGATGTGATTCTCTGAAGTATGTTGAGTTGGTTAATTTCCTCTATGTTCATGAGTGTACTGCTGTGGAAATGTAAAACTCCCCTTCTTCTGATTGCTCAATCCTTCTCCCTATTAATCCTCATTGATACCAGGGAAAAAAAGAGAAATGGATAGTGCCGTTGGTTTAAAAGTGGAATTTATTATGTGCCCATAATGCACTCACATTGTTAAAAACAATTTGTGCTTTGTATAATATAAGAGCCGCTACGTGCAGATGTGACCAGCCTCATCGGTGTGTCTGCACACACTGTCTATACTCGCCGTTCCAGAAGTAAATTATGAATATATACCTTATAGGTATATAATCCTTTACAGGGCGCGGCACCCTATTTCGAATTGAGTTATCACTCCCCACATTCTATATCAAGTGCTATGGGCCTGGTGTGGATATAAGGGAGAACCTCAGCAAAATAAATTGTTGGGTCCACCTTTTAAAAATCCATTCCAGATCCTTATCCAAGCATGCAGGCCAGGAAAGAGGGGAGGGGATTGGCATTTTACTTTAGGATCTCCAAAATAAAAGAAAAAAAACCCTATATACAAAAGCTCATTGAATGGAGATTATGTCATCCATTAAGAGATGTCTGCCACATAGCCAGTGGTATATATTCGTAATTTATATTAAAATTTAAATCTTCTGCCTTACATAGAGCACCAAGGAATTATCATACATGATCCAGAGTGATATCAATTATGCTTCATACTAAAATTACCAAATGTGAATATAGGTAAAAAAAAACAAGCATATACAATCAATTATAAAAATTCATAAAGTAATTAAATAATTGTCCAAATTATAAAGTGTCCAAACAATGTATAAGTCCCTCCCACTGACGTCACCACGTACCCGACTTCTGGAACGGCGAGTATAGACAGTGTGTGCAGACACACCGATGGGGCTGGTCACACCTGCACGTAGCGGCTCTTATATTATACAAAGCACAAATTGTTTTTAACAATGTGAGTGCATTATGGGCACATAATAAATTCCACTTTTAAACCAACGGCACTATCCATTTCTCTTTTTTTCCCTGGTATCAATGAGGATTAATAGGGAGAAGGATTGAGCAATCAGAAGAAGGGGAGTTTTACATTTCCACAGCAGTACACTCATGAACATAGAGGAAATTAACCAACTCAACATACTTCAGAGGATCACATCGTAGCTCCACTCCTATATAGCCAAGTATATCTAGTTACAGACTGTTTGCAAGGTGAAAGCATACTAAAGATATCATCTGTGTGAGAATCACACAGAGTTTTTTCACTAACAGGAACAAAATCAATTGAACTTTTATATAATTTGTTGGACTTATACATTGTTTGGACACTTTATATCGTTTGGACACTTATTTAATTACTTTATGAATTTTTATAATTGATTTTATATGCTTGTTTTTTTTCACCTATATTCACGTTTGGTATTATAATTTTAGTATGAAGCATAATTGATATCACTCTGGATCATGGGCGGACTGACAACTCATGGGGCCCCCAGGCAATAGGGGATCATGGGGCCCCTGTGTCCTTGCCCAAACTCAAAAAAGCCTATGAAAAAGGTACCAGGGGCATCTCATGGGGCCCCCAACTGACCCCGGGCCCTCGGGCAGTGCCCGAGTTTCCCAATGGTCAGTCCGCCCCTGCTCTGGATCATGTATGATAATTCCTTGGTGCTCTACGTAAGGCACAAGATTTAAATTTTAATATAAATTACAAATACATACCTTATAGGTATATAATCCTTTACAGGGCGCGGCACCCTATTTCGAATTGAGTTATCACTCCCCACATTCTATATCAAGTGCTATGGGCCTGGTGTGGATATAAGGGAGAACCTCAGCAAAAAAAATTGTTGGGTTCACCTAAAAAAATCCATTCCAGATCCTTATCCAAGCATGCAGGCCAGGAAAGAGGGGGATTGGCATTTTACTTTAGGATCTCCAAAATAAAAGAAAAAAAACCCTTATACAAAAGCTCATTGAATGGAGATTATGTCATCCATTAAGAGATGTCTGCCACATAGCCAGTGGCAGCACAGTGGCTAAATGGTTAGCCCTTACGCCTGGCAGTGCTAGGATCATTGGTTCAAATCCCAACCACAGCACCCTCCAAGAGATAGACAAATGAAACCAGCGCTCCAATCTTCATGCAAACCAAGGAATTGCCAAAAATGCCAATCGAAGAGGTGCTGCCCTTCTGAGATCGGGAAATCTGAACACTGGTAAATGAAAACAAGCAAGGGCGCACTCTCATCGTGCATTACCGTGGTATACCACGTAATTTATTAAATAAAAAAGGATGTATACTCACAAACCAACGTGATTATAGGCAGTATGAGTGATCCACAAAAAACAGTCACAATACAACTGTGTCTAATGATGCGGATAAACTGACGCATTTCGGGGGCGGAACCCCCTTCCTCAGAGCCCAACCACAGCACCACCTGCCAGTGGTTTGCATGTTCTCCCTGTGCCTGTGTGCGTATCCTCTCGGTACTCCATTTTCCACCCAAGACATGCTGGTAGATTAATTGGATTCTGTCTAGTATGTATATGTATGAATGTGAGTTAGGGACCTTAGATTGTACACCGCTTGAGGGTTAGGGACTGATGTGAATGTACAATATATATGTAAAGCACTGCGTAAATTGATAGTGCTATATAAGTACCTGAAATAAATAAATAGCAATAATAGTGGTGAAACCAGAAACTGCATGGCTGTTTGAACCGTAACACTGCATGATATACAGTATCCAGTAAAACATTGATAACATAATATTATATTTTACAAATAGTCAAGTCACTTGTCTACCATAATTCATAAATATTCATTCCTGCAGTAAAATAAAAGCATTCCTTCACAATGAACCATTTTAGCAGCTACGAATTACGCCATCATTTAATTTATACTGAACGTCTGTATGTTATGTCCTACGTGGGATGCTTAAAAGATGGAAAGCTATTACAATAGGTGCATAAATTTGTCAAAAGCCATTAACGAGGGCCATTAATGGAGAAGAGTAATTTTAAAAACTGCGCAATATAAATAACCCTATTTTGGAAAATCAGACACAGCTGCTAGGTCATGTCCAGTTGTTACATTATTTCTCGTTTCTGATGTTACAAATCTGGAAATTCTGAAATGGCCGTGTTCAATTTCTGAAAAGTGGTTGGAATGATATTCATCTTCCCCGGCCTCAATGGGAAACTGAGAATTTGTCACATTCCATCTATTATAAAAAAATACTTTATCATAAAACCAACTGCCGCCAACAAAACAGAGAATGAAAACCTGTTATTTCAGGACAGCGTCTATCAGTTCTTTTGAGTCTGACTAAGACCCGAGCCGGGGCATGGCAAATGTTATGAGGAAGAAAAGCCATAAACAAGAATAGACTGTGTTTGAAAGTTTACCTAGAAGTTTGAAGGAGCAGCCAAATGCTGCAGGATGATCCCGTGCTATGCGGCTTGTTTTACAATAGGACACATGACTGGTACACTGTTCAATTCTCCCTGAGATTGACTAAAATAACCACACTGACAACAAAGATACTTTTAACTTCGTTGATACTTTATTATTTAAAGCGGTTTCCACTCAACCTATCAAAAAATAAGAGTCAGCAACTACAAATACTGTAGCTGCTGACTTTTAAAAAGCAGCCACTTACCTGTCCCTCGGTCCCGTGGTGTGTCCCCCGCAGCTCATTTCACCGGCCATCCTGTATTCCTGGAGGCCGGCATCTTCACTGTGGGCACCTGACTGTGATAGCTTGCGGCTTCACAGCCGGGTACCCACTGCGCATGTGCGAGTAGCATTGTGCTTCATGAATGGTTCTGTAGTCTTCTGGGACCTGTCACGTGCCCCGAAAGACTACAGGGAGGGAGGACACCTTCCGGACCAGAAGTGGGAGCAGGTACCTGTCAAATTCGGGTACCCATTCTGCAAAGCAGCCAATCCTTAAAGCGGAACTTCCCCTTTTGGGTGGAGCTCTCTTTAAGTATCAGCCACAGCTTGATATCTATGAAAAATGAACAATCAACCAATAAAACATATCTAACACCAAATCCCTTTTTAGCAGTGCTGAGTGGCGTATCTCCACTTTTCTTCCTTAGCAGGAGCCGATTCAGCCCCCAACCATCCAGGTTAGGCTCAGGGGCTTACCTACCAATTCCACCACCTCTACCAGCCACCTGCCACCTTAGCCAGCAAAAGGGATAAACGCCAGTTGTGACAAAAAATATCACGTGACAACAAATATACCGGACGGGAACCAATAATAACAAGGTGTCACTGAATTATTTACTTTGTAGTTATTTATTCATTGTCCTGAAAGAAAAAACTGCACGTCTTTGTTTTTTTAATTTATGTATGTATTCTTTTTTTTTTTTTTTTTTTTGCAATTATTTATTAATATATTTATTTTTTATTTTGTTATAAATGTCATAAGCAAAGCCACAGCAATGAAACCCAGGAACAAAAACTTGGGGAGGGAGGGTGGGGACTTCCTTCTTTGTGGAAGGGCGCCAACTGAGTGACCAGTATGTCACGGGACTTAATGTGATGCAGGAGCCCCCTTCTTTTTCTTCCTCCTACCAATAATCTGCCACCACAATCCAAAGCACGCCCCTTCACCATCCCTCTCTTCTGCCATCACTTAACCCCTTTATTACCCTACAG